TATATATATATATATATCGGTCAGTTCGGTTAACCATCGGTTTTTTTAAATGATTAACCGAAACTAAACTGACTGGTTCGGTTAACCTATTTTTCGGTCGGTTTGATTTTTCAGTTTTTTTTGCTCACCCCTAGTTTTGGCCATTGGTTTTCTAGTCGATGGTTTGACTGTTCGGTTTGAACAGACAACCTGTTTGATAAACAATAAAAAATAATTAAAAATAAAAAACGGATAAAACCATTGAATGGGTCAACGGGTCATTGACTGATTCAATGGTTTTTGGTTAGAGACCAGGTTTGGGATAAAATGAAACCGGTTGCCTGGACAGTTCCCGGGCCGAACGGTCCGACCGTCTGGGTCAACGACGGTTGGAAAAGCATGATTGTAACATAATAATGCTTAATTTACTCGAGTCAAATTTTGAAGAGGAAAATGCAAGAAACATTTGTTGCTTTTTTTTTTTTCCTTTTTGAAATTTTGGGACCCAGCTTTCATTTTCATTGGATGCAACTACAAATGGTAATTTTGCCTAAGCTGCAATTTTAACTAACACACGCACAGTAAGTATGAAGCACTGAAGGATGAAATGTTACACTGTTTTTGTCTTGAAGAATCGTTTGGAAACAAATATAGCAGCAGACTGCAGCTTGACGGTTTTTCTCGACTCCAGTGGAAACAAATGGATCGGTTTTGGGTTGGACCCATTCAAATCAAAATCAATTTGGTTGGACGGAATAAGATATATTGAATTGGATCAGTTCAGAGTTTCAGACTTAATGGTCTAAAGTTTTTATTGGATTGGATTGGAGCTAGTCCATCCATAATGAATTTATATTGAATTGGGTTAAAAATTGAACTAATATCCACTCTATTGATAAAAAATAAGAATATACGTGTTAATGAACCAGGTTTGAGTTGAAACCAATCTAAATTAAAACCAATTTAAATAGATTAGATGATGGTTCAGACATTGAATTGGATTGATCCAAAGTTGTTTAATATTCATTGGATTGGATTGGACCTGGTCCATCTATAATACTGATTGGATCAAAATCCAGTCCAATTGACACCCTTACCGGCGAGTGCGCAGATATAGATAAACAAGAAAAGAAGGAATATTAATCCACAAGTAGTCAGATCCTTGTGCTTTCTTTTCTTTTATGTTTCCTATTTTGTATATTGTACCTAACCTAACCACGAGAATGCTAACAATTCCTTTTGGGGACACAGCGCGAGGGCCCTCCGTCGCGAGAGGGAGATGCTCAGCAAGCAAATGCAGAAGAGATTCTCCGTAGCCGAGAGAGAGCAACTCTATCAGAAGTGGGGTATCGGATTGAACACGAAGCAGAGAAGGCTACAGCTGGCTCGCCGCATATGGACAGACGCAAAAGACATGGACCACATAACGGAGAGCGCCAGAATTGTCGCAAAGCTGGTCGGATTCTTGGAGCAAGGGCAAGCCCTAAAGGAGATGTTTGGCCTCTGCTTTACCCCCGAACTGTCAACACGGAGCTCCTTCAGCTGGAAAAAGTGAAAAACAAACACGTCTCTCGCTCTCCTCTGAGGTTATATGATTATATCACAGGCACTGTGCTACACGTACATGGAAATCTGGTGGTAATCGTGGTTTCATATCGGCTAAATTCCAGTAGAATGGAATTTTGACTGATTCGCTGTCACTGTGACCGAGATGTAGAAATTAGTAAAAGGCTTGTAAATTTGCTCAGTGTAGTTATATTTCGTTTGAATGTTCATCCCCATCTTGTATGTAATGGTCACATGCGTGTTGTATTTCTTTCTTAATTTTATTATCAGGAACTTATTATTATCATTATTTGTTATTATTAAAAAGGAAGAAAAAGGTTTTTTAATTCCATAATTGATCATATGGCACAACATTTTTATATGACATTTTCTTGTTTCAGCCTCAGGGGTGTGTATAGTGTAGACAAAGCAGGGTGAATGTGAGGCCCACTTACTACCAGCCTACCAGCACAAAGAGCTGTTAGACCACGGCTTTGATCCATGTCTCTATTTTTGGAGTAACGCCAAATGATCATCTCAACGACTAGGGGCTGTTTAGTTGTATTGCCGTTTTTCAAAACGTTTTATATTATTTTTTTCTTGAAAATTGGGACAAAATATTTATTGTTGCTTTTATTTATAAGCTGAACAGTAGAACGCTGGAAGAAATCTCCCAATGGATGAGACTCACACAAAATGAGAAAAGCATTTTATTCATAAACAATTTAATCAAACAATGGCTATGTTTCGTACCGTTGGTGTTTCCTGAAAAACGGTGCCACGTTTACCCCATTAAGTGTGAGCATTTATTTGGACTTGAACTACTGTTTGGTTCATGTGTTCATCAAAAAAATGCTGAAAAACATTGCTACCTCGACTTTGATGAAAAAACATCAATTTCTGTGCATCTAACCGTTTGAGGAAGTTTCAAATTCTCGCTTCCTCGTTTCGTGAACACCGAAGTTTGAATTGATTCTGTGTATTGCGGGCCACCAAAGAGCAACCAAAAAGAAAATGCTAATAGACTGGTATCTACTCGAAGGCAGTCCATCATCTTCTGTACAAGAGGTTCAGCAACCAAACAAAAAAAATTTCGTCGTGCTGTTTGACGCTAGTAAGCCCTTTGTTCTTGTTTTTTTAGGAAAAAATGCCAATAACTCTCCATTGTTTTGCAAGTTTAGCCCTAAATCTGTTGCCATTCTGGTCGGTAACCCCTTTATTCCTTGAATTTTTTGGGGAAAAACAAAGCCAATAACTCTCTTTTTTTGTAGGTTTCGCCCTAGATCTGTTACCAGAGTAAAACCAGTCCCATTTGGTCGCTCCACTCTTCATCCCTAACCAATCCCATTTGAGCTTTCATCCAATAAAACTTTTGCTTTTTATCAGTCTTCTTCACATAAGCTTAAACATCTTAAGTAGAAAACCCACTTTCAAAATTTATTTTCAAGGTGCAAATAAATATTTTTTACATAATAATTTTTTTATCAAACAAATATTTTACCAAAAAATATTTTTCTTGAATCCACAAACAAAGGAAAGTAGCAAACAAGGAATGAGATGATGTTAGGAGAAAAAAAAGGATAATTTGCATATAATATACATCAATAAATATTGATTTCACACTTTGAGGACCTATACCACACATTTTGACCATTAGATGTGGTTTGCATCATAGATTAGGGGTGATCATTTCAGCTTGGCCCGGCCTGGCCTGGAAAATCCAGGCTTGTGCCTAGGTTTTTTATTAAGGCCCAGTTCGGGCTTGGGCCTGCGTCAAGCCTGCAAAATTTAGGGCCAGGCTTGGGCCTAATTTTTTAGGCCTAGCCCAGATATTTATAAATAATATATATCTTTATGTATATGTGTTATTTAAAAATATTTGATAATTAATGTTTTATATATTAAATAGATATTAATAGAGATTCTAATCTAGTATTTAATGAAATATAGAAATTACTAAACCCTAATCTTCTCGGCTCTCTCTCTCACCAATTTCACAAAACCACTACTGCGCCCAATCTCTCTCTCTCTCTCTCTCTCTCTCTCACCAAAAGACAAATCTTCTAGTGATGAAGACACCATTGCTGAAGATAAATCTAAAGTTTAGAGTGGTTGCAAGTTTTGGGTAAAATTGAAACCATTTTCAATATTTTATTACTTATTTATTTACATTAATTTGAACTAWTTTTTCTTAGTTTGCTAATATCTTTTTTATTTCACTTTTTATTTGTAGGAGTTGAATGGAAGATGGAGCCCCTTACAGAGATGTTTAAAGTTGTTTTGTAGATATTACATGACAATGGATGGTTATTTTTTGATAGATATTATAGGTTCTAGGTTGATTTTTTGTTGATAGAAGAATTGGTTTGTTAAAATTATCATTTTTAGCATACTAATGAACAATTGAAGCTTATAAATTACAAGGTATAATTATTTAATATCTTTTATGTTAGAAGCTTTTATCTCGATATTAAGTTTAAAGTTTACAAGTTACTATAGTCTCCATGTCAATAAGTGAAAAAAAAGTATAATTGCTTAATTTTGGAACTAAAATACAATAATTAGGCTCCGAATCCTGGCCCGAGCTTATATTTTTAGGACCATAATGCAGGCCGGCCTAGGCCCGGGCCTAGCCTAAGCCCGTTGTTATGAAGGCAAAGCTCGGCCTGGTCCTAGCCCATGATCACCCCTATCATAGATCCATCATTGGATCTAAAAACTGGCCCATTGCGTGCAAGCATGGGTAATTTGGACCATTGGATCGACTAATGGCTCCTAGACGTCCAAGTGAAAGTGTCACACTAAAACACTCATATGGTTGTTTCTTGAAATGTGCCACTAAACAGCCAACCCATGAGAAAATGTTTATGTCTATTGAGTTGTAAATGGGTTGTTTCTTGAAACACCCAAAATAGGCCCAACCAAACAACCAAACAAAAAACATTTAAAATGAGTGTTTATCAAAAAATCGTTTATTTGATAAATGCCCCTCCAATAAACACCTAGAGGTATAAATCGGGTTGTGCCGCCCGTGGCCTGACAAGATGGCACGCAAATCGTAACGGGTTCGGCACAATGGTCCGGGTCGTGCTGGGCATGGGGTTCTGGTGTGTTTGGAAGCGCGTCGTTAAACACTCTAGAACACCAGTTTAATTATTTATAACATTTTTCCGTTTCTCAAACAACTACTAATGTAGTAAATGGATGAGAACGGGTCATATCCACAGGGAAGCGAGGGAAAAATTAATATGTACTTAGATCCGAACAAGAGAATGCAGTCGGCAATGGCAGAAAATATGAAAATAAAATCTATTATTGCTAAATTTAAATGTTTCGAATTTAAATAAGACAATAAATAAAAATCAAAATTTAATAAAGTATGGGAATCAACAAAGGAAATAAAATAAATAAATAAATAAAAATAATCCAGAATCCGGATCCGGTGGCAATAGTTGCAGATCGGCTAGACAGCTTGCAAAAACCCCTCCTGACAAGAATCAGGCGTCTGTCCTTTCTACAACCCTCGAACCCCTCGAGACACCTTATCCTTGAACCGAACGAATTCAGATCTACAAAACAAAGAAACGAACAAGAATCAAATCCAAAAGATTGCAGAAATAAAAATAACAAAAAAGAAAATATAGAAAAGAAAAGAATGGTTGATCAGATCCAGTGGTGGTAGTTGTAGAATGGTTGAACAACTTGCAAGAACCCCTCCTGACAAGATCTGGGCGTTCTCTCCTTCTACAACCCTTGAACTCCTCAAGAAACCTTAGCCTTGTTAACTAGGTGAATTGACCAACCCCTTTTGTAGGGCCCCTGAGGTCCTTTTCATAGAAAAGGATGGACACAACTGGGAATAGAGAGAAAGAGGGGGGCGACAACTGGGTTTTAGAAAAAATATGGGTGTCCTAGGGTTTAGAATAAAGGGTTAGGATGGTTCTAGGGTGATCCTAAGGCTGAGAAGAAAAGGAGAAGGCACCCAATATTATGTAAATCTGAGATTTAATGGTTAAAGGCTGAATGGTGAAGATTAGAGATTAGGTGGCTCCTAGGAATAGAATGCTAAAAAGAGAGTGCCCTAGAATGGATGGTGGATATTAGAAGGGATGGAATGTGAGGATTTAGTAGTTAGGGGTGGCTAGGGTTTGTTAAGAGTGAAAAGAATGGGTTAAAAGGCGCCCTAGGGTTTGCTAAGGCGTGGGGAGCATGCTAATATAGTAGGAGGGGTGCCAAACTGAGTTTAGCAGCTAGGAGGCACCCTCCTACTTTCAGTTTTTCACAAAAACACCCCCTCTCTCAGCTGGACTTCACACCCGATTCCCAAAATCTGCATTTTAGCCAAGAAAATTTCCTAATTTTCCCCAAAATTTGCACAGAGGCCCTTAGAGACCACAACATTGCATTTAACTAGGAAAAGGACACATCTTGACTATTCTAAGGCCGAAAATACCCCTAAATTGATGCCCTTAAGGCATCAAAATGCAGAGTTATCACACCCCCCAACTTAAACATTGCTAGTCCCTTAGCAATGTAGCCTTAAAATTACACTGATCATAGAGATCTTTCCCATCTCAAGATCCTCCCTGACTGAATTAGTCAAGCATCATGATTCTAGCATTCTCAAACTCTATATAGATCAGTATTGGGTTTTAGGGGTAAAGCCGTTTTGTTTTGAATATTACAGAAACTTGGCTTCAAAATCTTATTTACCCCTCAATTTGCAAACTATCTTGATAAGTTGAGATTGATTTTTAAAATCAAACATGTATTCTTCTTATCATTTCCGATAGTGGATTTCTACCCCTTAACTTGATTTGCACACTTTTTTTTATTGCTACCTTCCACCGTTTGATGCGAATCTCAACACTTGCCTTAGGTGAAGAGACCTAGTTACTAAGTGTTAGGTGAGTGTCTTTGGTATTCCCTTTTCCATTTGGCGCGAATCTCGACACTTGACTTAGGTGAAGAGACCCGGTTAGGGTGTCCATTGACCTTTTATTCTCTCTCTCTCTCTCTTTTTTCTTTCTTTTTTTTTTTTCAGAAGCACAGTTCACGGTAGTCCACTGTCTCTAACAATTTTGATGAATTTTTTTGTCTAATCTCTCAATCTTTCTTTTCTTATCTTGGAAGGGGCAAACTTAGGAGTTTTTCAAATTTCTAAACGGTTTCGACAATATTCAAATAAGACCAATTTTTTACTCCTATCACTTGCTACCAATTTCTACAGAATTCAATATTCTTTTATTAGCTTTCTTAACTTTTTCTGTTTGGGAGTC